GTAAAATTTGAAAGGGACAATTATTGAACTCTTTTTTATTATATTAAATATTTGTTAATTGTTCATTCAGTGATCATGCTAATATGATAAAAATATATTGCAAACAAAAAATGAGTTAAAATATGAAAGAATATTAACAGAGGGTAACACAGAAGGAAAAAAGCCAACTAACGCTGAAGGATGTCTAAAAGAATGTCCATTAGATAATGAAAAAAACAAAAGTATGGATCCGGATTTATACAAGAATCCGTACAAATATTGGCTTATGTTCAAGGTTCCAAAATTTTGGGATCGATATGAAAATGAGACAAGTGGAATGGACCCTATATGGAAAGTAAAAAAATGGAATGCTGAATTTATTAAAATTTCAAATAAGAAATTTAATGATCTATATTCAATAATTCGTCGTGATATTCCAGATAAAGAAAAAAAGGAAAAAACTGATAGTTTCATGAATGAATTTGACTCAGAATTTGAGAAATTTTTATTCAAATGTAAGCAAGAGATGGGAGACAATAAAACAGAATCCGAATCTAAGAAAGAGCAGGGAAAAATAAAAAAAGAAAATAATAAATCAAATACTTTGAAATTTCTTTTTTGTAGGTTTGATAACCATTAAGAGAATAAAAATTAATGGTTTAGCAGAGAATATAGGATTAGTCATGCACAAGATCTAGTTAAGAAAAAGAAAAATTAATATTTTGTTTAAATTTTTTTTATAGAAATATATTTTATTTTTTAAAAAAAAAAAAAATTAAAAGAGATATTTCTATAACAGTTAAAACTAATAGAAGTCACTCGACATACTCTTCATTAATTTTACTAAATATCCTCGCATATTTGCTGAACAATCAATTAATGGATCGGTATGTTAATGTTCGCATAATATGGTGTATAAAATAGAGTATATATGCTTTATTAATCTATTGTTCAATAATTTCTATATATTATTGAATGAATAAATTAATAAAGAGCATATAGAGTAATCCCTATTAGTTTTAACTGTTATAATAATATATCTCTATTATAATAAAGTAAATTTTATATATATAGTTTACATAAAAGAATATTAATTTAGAGGTGTTTATTTAATTAGTGCAAATTTATTCCTACTTTTATTAAAATATTATTATTAAAGCTTTTGATTATATCCAAAATAATATTTTAAAATAATATAATAAATTGAAAATGTGGTTACTAAAAAATTTTTAAAAATACATAAAATTTAAATAATAATAAAAATTTAATTATTTTTGTTTTCAATTAAACTTTGAATTTAATCTTTCATGATTCCAAATATTAATTCGACTAATGAAATATAATTCACAAATAACGAAACCCATTATTCAATAATCTAAAGAAGCAAAAAAATTAAATAAAATATAAAAGCAAAAAAAATTAACAAAAGAACAATAAAAAAAATTTTTTTTTTAGTGATATATTTTCTTCAATGGCAAGTATGAGTAACAATTTGTTACTTATAATTTACTATTATTTCATAAAAAGTTTACCATATCTTTTACTAATCATATACGTATTTTAATATATGTATATTTTTTAATATATTGCATGTACGCAGAACTGTTTTCTCTACTTTGGTCCATCACATTAAAAATTTAAAAAGATTAATAATATTCTTTGTTAGTCACATATCAAAGCTTAATATTTAATCTCATTTAATTTGTATTAAATCTCCTTTCCAAATAATGTTAGCGTAAAAACCTTTACAAATACTTAATATTAAACTTTCATTTAATTTTTTTTTTGTAATATTTATTTTTTATCAATTTTATTATGAGGATGCATTGTTTCATGTAAACGAATTTTTCTATATTTTCATTTTTTGTTATTTTAATATTAATATTAATATTAATATTTAACTAATTTATAAAACAGTTACATAATTATTAAAGTAAATTTAATATTTGTTCACTGTTGTCATTATTACGTGAATTCAAACTTAATTTAGGTATATTTTATTTATAACAATAAAAATATATATATATATATTTTATTTTTTTATTTTTTATTTATTTATTATCATTTGTTTATAAAAATAATATTGCATGTATAATTTTGTTTCATTTATATTTTTTTATTTGCCTAAACATTGTTATAAGGTTTTAATATATCATTGTTAATTATCTATTGTTATTAAAATAAAATTGTTATAAATTTTATTATATCATATATACTTTTTTGACAATTAATATCATATAATTGTGATTTTAATTTTTATATAAACAATAATATTATACCAATTTTACGTATATTTTCTTTAAATTTTTAGAAGATTATTTTACTGTATATATTTAAAGTTTTTTTTTATTTCTTTAAAAAAAAACAATTATTGAAAATATTCTCAAATAGATATTATTACCATTTTATGTTAAATATTTTATAAAAAAAAATTTAATTTTTTGTTATGTTTTATTTAATATAAAAAATTAATTATTTAAAATATTACTGAATAGGTGTTACCACCATTTTATATAAAACATGTTAAAATTTTTATATCTTTTGATTACTATATGTTTTATTAAAAAAAATTAATATATTATCTGAAAAATTCTTGAATAGATATTATCACTTTATATTAAACGTATTACAAAAAAATTTTTTTTAAATTTTTTGTTTATTATATGTTTTGTAAAAAAAAAAATCTTATTGATAATATATATTAAGAAAGAATATACTATAAATGTTAAATTTTAAAAAAATATATTTTTGAAAAAAAAAAATATAATTAAACTTTAATATTTAAATAAAAAATTAAGCCTAGTTTTAAATTTTTATAAATATTATGTATTGTATTATAAACTATATTTTTTATTAGGAATAAAATAAAACTTATAAGAAAATGTATTATTAAAAAAAAATAGCCCTATAAAAATATAAGAGGAAAAAGTAGGAAAAACATATACATCTTATTTTAATTTTAAAAATGGCACTTTTATATAATAGAGGATGCGATGATTTTGAAAGAGACTCTGCCACATGTCATATGACTATATGTCCCATAAATAAATGTAAATTTGAAACATCATATTGTCGGGCTAATATAAATTCAATTAAAGTATATCGTCCTTCAGATAATGTTTCAAATGATTTTTCAAAAAATACATTTAAATATAAACGTTATGGACCATATAAATTTTCTAGAATAATTATTCTTTCAAACAATGATCAAGATGGTATTGTGTTTCTATATGAATTCAATCCATATATGGATGATTTCCCAATTAAAACATATTTATGCCGTCTTAGGAATATAAACCAAACGCTATCGTTATGCGAATCCATTGATCCATATTATTTAGATAAAAGTCTTTCGTTTAATTCTTTTGATATTATTAATGAAAAAAATGATCTAGCTAATTTAAAACATATAAAAAACCCCAGACATCAAATTATTATATCAACATATAAAGACTTATATTATAAAGAACATTCTTGCCATTTGATTAAATCAAAATTTTTTACACACCTTCGCTGCGTGAATTATTTATGTGAAAAAGATAATGGAGAATATAATTTGTGTACTGATGCGAATTATAGTGGAAAATTAGTAGCTTTTGATTATTATAGTTATGAACGAAACCTTAAAGAACTTATATATCTTCCAGAAAGTTGCTTAAAAAAAGATTATAATTTTGCATGTACTCCATATTATTGCCAAAGAAAAGCTATAAATCAATTTTCTTTATGCGACTATAAAGAAATTAGTGCTATAAAAAATATAGCAACAAATTCAACAAGTTTAGATGTTATAGCAACAAGTTCAAAAAGTTTAAACGTTATATCAAGGAATTCAAAAAGTTTAGACGTTATATCAACAAAGCAGCATAATGTTTATCATGAAAATAATTTGAGTTCACCTGCGCTCTTTGCAATGACTTTTATGCCTTTTTTAATTCTTTTCGTTTTTTTTTGGTGCTATATATATAAGATTATGAAAAAGAAGAGAAGTAAGTTATTTATAAAATATTTAAGTATATTAATGCTTATATTACGTAAATNTATTTCTTCAAAAAAAAACAATTATTGAAAATATTCTTGAATAGATATTATTACCATCTTATGTTAAATATTTTATAAAAAAAAATTTAATTTTTTGTTATGTTTTATTTAATATAATAAATTAATTATTGAAAATATTATTGAATAGATGTTACTACCACTTTATATCAAAAATGTTAAAATTTTTAAATCTTTTGTTTACTATATGTTTTATTAAAAAAAATTAATATATTATCTGAAAAATTCTTGAATAGATATTATCACTTTATATTAAACGTATTACAAAAAAAATTTTTTTTTAATTTTTTGTTTATTATATGTTTTGTAAAAAAAAAAATCTTAATGATAATATATATTATGAAATAATATTCTATAAATGTTAAATTTTAAAAAAATATATTTTTGAAAAAAAAAAATAGAATTAAACTTTAATATTTAAATAAAAAATTAAGCCTAGTTTTAAATTTTTATAAATTTTACGAATTGTATTAGAAACTATATTTTTTATTAGGAACAAAATATAACTTATAAGAAAATGGATTATTAAAAAAAATAGTCCTATAAAAATATAAGAGGAAAAAGTAGGAAAAGCATATATATCTTATTTTAATTTTAGAAATGGCACTTTTATATAATAGAGGATGCGATGATTTTGTGGGAGACTCTGTCACATGTCATATGGCTATATGTCCTATAAATCGATGTAAATTTGAAACATCATATTGTCCGGTTCAGTTAAATTCAGTTAAAGTGTATCGTCCTTCAGATAATGTTTCAAATGATATTTTGAAAAATACATTTAAATATAAACGTTATGGACCATATAAATTTTCTAGGATAATTATTCTTTCAAACAATGATCAAGATGGTATTGTGTTTCTTTATGAATTAAATCCACATATGGATAATTTCCCAATTAAAACATATTTATGCCGTCTTAGGAGTATAAACCAAATGCTATCATTATGCGAATCCATTGATCCATATTATTTAGATAAAAGTCTTTCGTTTAATTCTTATGATATTATTAATGAAAAAAATTATCCAACTAGTTTAAAACATATAAAAAACCCCAGACATCAAATTATTAAATCAAAATATAAAGATTTATATTATAAAGAACATTCCTGCCATTTAATTAAATCAAAATTTGTTTCACATCTTCGTTGCGTGAATTATTTATGTGAAAAAGATAATGAAGTATATAACTCGTGTACTGATGCGAATTATAGTGGAAAATTAGTATTTTTGTATTATTTTAGTTATGAAAGAAAAATTAAAGAACTTATTTATCTTCCAGAAAGTTGTTTTAAAACAGATAATAATTTTGCATGTACTCCATATTATTGCGAAAGAAAAGCCATAAATCAATTTTCTTTATGCGAATATAAAGAAATTAGTGCTATAAAAAATATAGAAACAAATTCAAAAAGTTTAGATGTTATAGCAACAAATCCAAAAAGTTTAGATGTTATAGCAACAAATCCAAAAAGTTTAGATGTTATAGCAACAAATCCAAAAAGTTTAGATGTTATAGCAACAAATCCAAAAAGTTTAGATGTTATAGCAACAAATCCAAAAAGTTTAGATGTTATAGCAACAAATCCAAAAAGTTTAGATGTTATAGCAACAAATCCAAAAAGTTTAGATGTTATAGCAACAAAGCCGCATAATGTTTATCACCAAAATAATTTGAGTTCATCTGCGCTCTTTGCAATGACTTTTATGCCTTTTTTAATTCTTTTCGTTTTTTTTTT